GATAGATCAAGTGCTTTTTTTTTCAATTATGCAGTAATTCTATTAACTGATATGTTTTCTCTTTTTCGTTTTACAGATATTCATTGATTATTTAGACTGGTTTAAAAGAAGTTCAAACAGTAGAATCATTAGAAATATGCTTTACTTATTAAGTTAGGGACACTTTCTAAAATGAGCTTTTCCTTTGAAAATATTTTTTATGGATCGCTTACATCACTTATAAATCTGCTTTCCTGTTTTGGGGAAGGATCAGAGCTAACTGATCTCCTGGACTTGATTGGTGCATTTTTGTCAGCACGCAAAGTATTTAGTGCTGCCTGCTTGATAAATCCTACACGGAAACAATGGATGAATACTTGTAAAACAATTGCAAAAATTTTGCACTTAGTACTTATGAAGAGAGAATTTTCTAAGTGAATGTCCTGGCACTCATCCCGCACACACAGACACAGACACAAGACAAAGCAAAACAAGAAAGTGCATTCATGGCATAGTTTATTGCAGTGTGACCACATAAGGTCATATCATGGCTTTTGCTTTTTTTAGACTGGTTATCAGACTTTTGAGTTCTAAGAAATGTGAGCCAACGTCTTGCTTTAGGTGATAATGTAATAGCAGTAATACAGGGGAATAAATGTTGTATTTACTAATGTTCTTACAGTAAAACACCATATCTACAGTATTTTAGCTAAACATTTGTTTTCCCAACTCCACATATCGTAGAGGGCCCAGATATAAAACACCCAAACAGTTTGACTGTATTCCCATAGAACATTTTTTACTTCCCCATCTGGAAATACCCGAAATGCTATAATAAACCTAGAAAGTCCCTGTTGATTAATGGTCAGCCTTTGGTAATGAAAAATATATCTCCCACCGCAATTCAATTGAATCTCTCTGTTTTATTCAAGTTACAGAGTAGAAAGGGTATAAAATCAAGTCTAAGGAAGTTGGATGGAACATATGAGAATTATGCAGTTGATTTTTATGTAATAACATCTTAAAATAGCTGTCTGACTTCATATGCAACAAGGAAGCCCTTGTGAAAACTTTTAGTTAACACTCTAACAGATGGCTTGTAAAGCACAAGAAGAAATTCCTTATAAAGTGAAGGTATGCATTTTCGCCAAAACATCGTCAAACATTTTACACGGCTGAGTCATTGTGTAGGTCTGCCCCTGAGGAGACTTTATTGGCCAAGCTATTCCTGGACACTTGTCAGATCCCACTATAACCTCCCTCTAGTCACTTTTCATTACTGCTCACATTCAAGAACTCACATAGCACACAGTGTTGCACATGTTCTAGTGTATAGCATGTTAAAGGTCTCTGTGATCGGAACTGCTCCCTTACATGGCCCAGTAATTCCATAAGCCTTTAGCTAATGCTTCTAGTAATGTCACAGCTCCTTTTTCCTTTGCCATCATGATTGTCTGACCAGTGATCCAACATAAGCTCATTGGTCTTTCCTGCAATTTGTTCAGCGATAGACCTTAGCTGGATAAAGGGATGTATTATTTCAGCTTTTCCCTCCAACTATAGTTGAGATCCACTGTGAAAATGGCAGCTACATCCATTACAGCAGCAGGTCAAAGTGGTATAAATTAAGGGTAAGGTTTCACAAAGGAAATGGGACACATACAAGAGGTCAGTGCAGAATAAGCTGAAAATGCAGTGTCCTTGAAATAAAGAAAAGTTATAATGGCATGCTTTTTTATAACAGCAATTCAGTTTCCAACATGAAAAATGAAAAAATATTGTCAAATACATTCCCCTTGATACATGTATCCACTAATTTCTTGTAATGGCTGCTGCAGAACATCCAACTGTTTTCCCATGTTAGTCATTGCTATAACTGAAAACTAAATGAGTACCAGGCAACATCCAGAACTTTTAGTATCAAATATTCAAATATCTCTGCCAGATTGACTCCAACACATGGGTTTCCAAAGTAGCAAATGGAATATTAATATATAAATGAATTTCATTATTAAGTGCCATAAAGATGAATTTCCATCAGGGGAAGTGTCGTTTTGGCAAGGCCATTAATCAACTCTTTCTCGAGGTGAATGGACACACTCGAGCTTTAACAGCTGTTGGGCTGGGCCTAGTTTCACATTGTGGCAGTGAACGCACTGCCAGTCAGCCAAGCACACTCTGGGCTAGCACTGCATAAAAGAGTGTGTATGTGTGGATGTATGCTCCAGCCTTTATAACAGTATAAGGCGAATTTTTCCAATTTTACTTTGTGAGTACTATTCACTACTGTTACAGGTTAGGTTTACCAGGACTATTATGTGAACTGGGTTGAGGTGAGGTCAGGTTAAGGGTATGGCTCAGGGTCAAAGAAATCAACAGTGAAAAAAACATAATGAAAGTAATGTGTGACTGCAGAGTCCTTGTAGAGATAGGAAGCCGTGGTATGCATTTGTGTGCATCTGTGTAAAAAGCTGACAGTCAGGCACACCTGCAAGATGTGGTAAGACTTGCCTCATCAAATCTCTTGAAACCATGCCTTGCAGGCACAAAAGAGCACACTGAAAGTGCAGTCAGTTAGTCAGCTGATCAGGAAGTATGTGTTTCTTTCTTTTTTTTTTTTTTGCAGAACTGCCATTGAGAGTACATTATCACAAAGTCACAGCTGTACTCTGATCATGCTGCAGACTTCATACAAAGTAAACAAAGCAAGCATTATTTAAAAGAACTGTGAATAACCCACAAGCACAAACAACTTAGGCATAATAATAACTGACTATGAAGCAGGGATATATATCCCCTTACAAAAGCATGCATACCCGCACAACTTTTTCAGACTTTGCATTGTTGCAACTGCATACTTAAATTTTTTTTAATTAAATTTTAAGTGGGTAAATAAGTAAAATTTCAGGAGTTTTCAAATATTTACAAATTTTCTTTTACAAATTACAAATCCCCAAAGTGTTGGATGCATTAATACTCAGTGCCCCTAGTTTAATACTTTGTAATGACATTTTTATCTGCAAGTACAGCTGCAAGTCTATTTCTTTCCCGCTTTTGCACATCAGGATCTCAAATATTTGACCATTCTTGTTTGCAAATTGCTCAGCTTCAGCCAGATTGGATCCACAGCTTTAGTAAACAATAGTTTTTAAGTGTGCACAAATTCTCAGTTATATTTAGATATTGACCATGTGAGATTTTGCATTACATTTGCACCAAAGCTAAAAAGCTTAAAGGAATAGTACACCCAAAACATGATTAGCCTTCATTTTCTACTCACCCCCATGCTGAACAAAACTCTGGAGTACTTTTTTGATATCTCAAATGCATCTGGAGATCTGGGAGGCTTCTTGCTGTCTGCTGACATTCAAATAATGGAGGTCTATTGTGCCCGAGACAGAAAGGTCCACAAAAGTCCACAAAAACGTGTCAATATTCCTCCATACTGCTCGTCCAATGTAATCCAAGTGTCCTGAGTGGGTAGCATCCAGAATTTACTCGAAACGAAGTCATTTAGAACGTTTTAGAGCCTAAACAGTAGTGTATAGGATTTCCTAATAGCGCCCCCATGCGCGCTCACGATTCTACGGAAGCCGGCAGACCAAACCGGAAGGAAGTGCGCATTCAGCGTCTGCTCTGCCGATAATGCAAGCGTAGAAGAAGAAATGTGCTGTTTACCTGTGCAAAGAAAGAAACAACGAAAGAAAAATGTCTGAGGACTTCAGTGTTGAGGAAGAGCATGAGTTCTTTGCCGAGCTGAATGCGCTGGTTTGGTCTGCCGGCTTCCGTAGCGCCGTGAGCGCGCATGGGGGCGCTATTAGGAAATCCTATACACTACTGTTTATGCTCTAAAAACATTCTAAATGACTTCGTTTCGAGTAAATTATGGACGCTACCCACTCAGGACACTTGGAATACATTGGACGAGCAGTATGGAGGAATATTGACACGTTTTTATGGACTTTTATGGACCTTTCTGTCTCGGGCGCCATAGACCTCCATTATTTGAATGTCAGCAGACAGCAAGAAGCCTCCCAGATCTCCAGATGCATTTGAGATATCAAAAAAGTACTCCAGAGTGTTGTTCAGCATGGGGGGTGAGTAGAAAATGAAGGCTAATCATGTTTTGGGTGTACTATTCCTTTAAGGGTTTCATCTGAGTAGAGAATTTTCTTCCCCAATGATTTTCTCCCCAACTTTCATGGTCTATGGTACATCTCAACCAACGAGTGTTTTGGCAACATTACAAGCTGATAATAATATATTACAGTTTGTTGTTTTATTGAGATAAAATGTAGAAGTATTTACTGGCATAAAAATTTTTTTTGCAAAATGTTGAGATAATGTACTTCCCCAGTTCACTAAGACCCACATCTTACATTGTGTGAACGGACATAGAGTTCATAAATAAGTGCACTTTAGCTCAAAGACATTCCCTCAAAGGATGAGATGAATGTTTCCTACTTGAATAAAAATCCCATTTTGCTTGACTGAGCTGAGAGCATTGACCACAGTGCCACAGGCAGATTGTCAAGGTTTGTGAGCGAACGAACTTCACATGACATGTCGCTTTCATATCGCACTGTTATCCGACTCATTCACCTGCCGTTGTTCTCATCAGCGTTGCAAATTTCGCTTCCTTTTTTTCTTTTTTCATTTTGGGACTTGGGGATGGGTGGACTCTTGTTTTGTTTCTATGCAAGATGTCTCCACCTTTCCTGCAACATATCCTGCTGTTGCAAGGTCTTCTTGTGTGGTAATGTAATGTAGTAGGGTAGGATTATAACATTCCTCTTCTTCAATAAATAGCTGTTGTGCTTAAAAATCTGAAATTATTAAAGAATTTACACCAAATGTTTTTGAGTTTCTCTTTCGGATGTCACTCTGTGCTTGTTTTGTGGGGAAAGTAAGGCAACCGCAAGAATTCAGCACACCGTGCAGGAAACATTAGCATAGACAGAGGGCCCATTCTTACAGAAAGTGGGCAGGGACCAAAACACACTCACACACACTAAAAGAGGAGGAGGAGTACGGAAAACACGGGTAGAGTGAGGGAGAGAAACAGGAACAGAAAGTGAAGGCTTGTCAAGATGTCTGGGTGAAGGGGACCAGAACAGAACACAACACAACAAAAGCCAGATAGAAACCAAAAAGAACAAAAGTTGGAGCGGCTGACGTTATTAAGAAAGGAGGGGTGACCTGACCTGCTGCTACAGAAGCGCCTGCAGGGTAAGGTGCTGCTTTTAAACACATATTGAGTGCCTGTAACTACTCTAAAACTGTTCTAAGTGCTTTCTATGAGTTTTTCAAGCTTTTTGTGTGGTGATGTTAGAAAAAATTGTGCCTTAAAAACAAACTCTGTTAAAAAAACTGTTATTTTGTCTGTGGTCAGAAATGGCAGGATGTATGACAGGTTGCAACAATGTGCTGATGAGTTCTTTCCTGTTGTTTAGTTCTCCAGAATGTCAATAACATAACCTTCTGCTCCTGTTTAGAAAAACACCTTTTCAGTGAAATGCAGCATGAACTGAAACACCTATCTATCAGTGGTCGAGTATATTTATAGATTTACGAAGAATGACAGCTTCCTTCACTTCTTACTTTGTGAATGCTTTCCGTCTCACATCACTCATTTCACTCAGCTGAAATCAAGTTGACACAAGTCTAAAATGTAATGGATTTTTACACTTGTCCGTACTTAATATTACTTCTGAATACACAAACTGCCAAGGAGAAAAAAAAAAGAACATTTGGTTTATTTTGGCTCATGTTCTCTGATACAAAATGCTTTTTTCTTTGTCTGAATTAAACTTGGAAGCAGATATTTAAATACACATTACCTTGTTGTTACTCGCTGACATTAAAACAGTCAAAATCCTTCTTATATGGTTATTTATAGGATATTGAAATGATTTCTATTTGCTAAATATCATCAAACTTTCTAAAACGTCACACATTTACTTAAGATATAAGTTCAGCCCCATTTATTAACGTGTTCTCAGGTGTGACCCACTTTTTTTTCTCCATATGTAATTTTGTTATTGTAACTTTGCTCAAACAATTAAAAAAAACAGTGTCTGACCCTGTGCAGTGGAAAACTGTGATCAGAGTTTAATATTTATTTTGAAAAAAAGGCTTAGTTCTCTCTAGCTGGCCTTTTAGACCATATTAGGACCCGACTTGTATTTGAATGAACAGCTAAACACTATAATGAGGTTTATCAAGGATTTTTTCTTTTGTCTTTTGTATTTTTCTTTTGCTCCAGGATAGATAATCATATTTTAGATCAAACTGAGTTCCCTTTGAGACTCCTTTCTGAACATTTCTGTGATTTCTGGACATTTCCATTTTGTTTGGTACTGTAGGAAATTATTTAATCAGATGAATTTAGCTCACACACGAATTTGGATATTGTATGCAAAGATTAAATAGACTTATGGAGGTTCAAAACTCTCTTCCCTGCCCTTAACAGATTTTTCTAAGACATCAAACAAGAACACGGCATATTTGAAGTATTTTCCCATAAGCAAAACATCTGTTTATTAAAAGAAATAAATATTTAAACATACAATAGGATTTTTAAGTGGAAGAAATGGACGGATTGGAAAATATGCACAAGGAAGTTTACATAACTGCAGCCTAATGAAGTTTGTGATGCATAAATCAGTCAAAGGTATGGGGGAGATTCGCAAGTTGTAAACTGGGACTTGAATCATTTTCTCAAGAGACACCACACATGGACATTTTTAAGGACATGGGTGAGAGCTCTCTGGTTAATGTGTAAAAGAACTTATGAACTGCAGACATCAGAACATTGTTACCAGAAAAAGAAGAATCACTAGACTTTTCCTCAGTGATCATAGTTCTTGTTTCAACAGAGCAAAATAGGATTTGTATTTAATTTTGAAATCAAGTTCCCAAAGTCTGGGGAAAGGGTGGTGATACATTTACTAGAAGGCAAAATATACACTAAAATTGGCTCTTAAAAAATAACACATGACACAGCTGCATATCTTTATCTTTTGTTGATTTATTCTCTTCTATTTTGCTCTTTTTCCTAAACCAGGCACCTAAAAGCTTTAACATCTTCAAAGAATGACAGAGTAGTCTACTACGTCCTATCCTAAAAACTTGGGTCTATCTAATTCTTCTTCTTTGGTATGCAGATTCACTTTTACATTATTATTATTATTGGATATATGAAGATTATTATTACATGTGCTTGGAACCATATAATGTGATTTACTTAGCAAACTAATTTTATTAGGTCAACCATAAGTTTTATCCCTGGCCATACAAAGGTTTAAGAGAATCCCCTACCTTCTACTGTTTTCTTTCACAAACTGGTGTCAGATATGAGCCTTGCGGAGGGCGCCCATTTTTCACAAGTGGACGATAGGAAATTTTATGCGGGCTAGACAGACTATATAAAACAGTACCTTCTGCTTTTTTAAATGAGCAGTCGCCTTGGGCAGCTCACCACATCGCCCATGTCAGAAGCAGCCCCTGGTTGAGGTAGATGTGTTGCCTTAAATACATGCGTTCCTCATTTTTTCTAATGTTGCGAGCTAACTTGTCAGAAGCTTACAAAATAAAGGCAACAATAAAAACATAAAATGTTTAGTATGCATAAACTAGTAAATAAATAAAAGTGAAATATAATTGATCTCATACACTGACAAAATTGCTAAATAAAAAGCAATGTATGAAGCACTCCGCATTCACTGATTCTTAATGAAAAAGGATCTGCTCTGACTGTGTGCTCAGGGGCAAATCATAAAACATTTCTGATGCCTTCTGTCACTGCTCTGTCTTTTAGGTCACACATGCTTCTTCTAAAGAAGCAGAGGACCAGTTCAGACCAATCAAAACATTATTCTCAGCCCCTTCCTGCCTTTGTGTGCCTTAAGAAGTCAAATGTTCCTGTGTGTGAGTGGCTCAAGGAGAGCACAGTGTCATGAGGAAATGAAAAACCCTCTTAGAAATAGAAATGGAATTTCAGCAAGTTCACTAAAAGAGATGATCATTTATGTTTAAAGGCCACACATTTTAGCTCAGAATATATTGTGTGGGGGCACTTTGTAGCACTGTGGTCTTGCAGCAAGAAGGTTCAAGGTTAAATTAATGGCCCGCGGTCTTTCTGCATGTAGTTTGCTTGTTAACCCTGTGCATGCATGGGTTCTCTCTCCGGGTACTCTGACTTCCTCCCAGAGTCCAAAAACATGACTGTAAGGTTAATTGGCTTATCTAAATTGTCCTTAGGTGCCATTTTGTGTGCATGGTTGTATGCCCTGCGACACCTATCCAGGGTGCACCCTGCCTCTTGCCCCCATGTACCGTCAGAGATAGGCACCAATCCCACCATGACCTTGACAGAATAAGGGGGAGAAGATGGATGGATAGATGTTTCAATGTGAATACAAAAGCCTGATATGAACTGAATCATAAATTAAAATCGGAACGGGCCAGCATTCTTTGGTTACTCAAGATGAAGCATAAAACACACTGCAAAAAATAAAAATTAAATAAGTAATTTTTTTTTTTTTTTTCATAAGGTCATCTTGAATTTAGGAGGTGAGACACTTTGCAATTGAAGATGGTGATTTATACAAAAATAAGAAAAACAAATTGCATTATCTTATTTGGAGTGCATATTATCTATCATATTTTAAGTGTGAAATTACTAATTGCATTGGCAAATCATTTTATTTACCTATTTAAATTAAGAGTAAATACACTTAATTTAAATTTTTTTTCCTATTTGTAGATCGTTTTTGCAGTGCAACTGTCCAAAAAAAAAGAAAAGTCTAAACTTGTAATTATTAATCATTTTGTAGGAACAAATCAACAATGTGTATTCAGATTACACCATCAGTCTCTTTTAATTTTGTCATAATTATCTGGAAATGTGACCACATAAGCAGCAATACTTTATAGCAATCTTTTAGCCCCAACACAGAGTTTGACTTATCCATTACATTTTAAACTTTACCATCTGATTCCATTTGTTGTCTTTGTTACATGGCCATACTAAACTGATAAACCTTGTTTAATGTTTGTTTGTCTTGTTTGGTCTCTCAGACAAATAATTACTGTGAAACGATCATATTATGAGTAAGATTATACTTCATACAAATATGCTGTAGATCAAAAAAGACATCACAACAGCAGGAAGTAAGAAAGTAGTGGTTCAAAGGAAAATGATCAGAAACATGAAACATTATGAATCAAGAAAGGTGAAGAGAAGGCATCACCCACTTAAAAGTAAAGTGCTACGTCCAAAATTAGCATAGTTGTTTCCATGCTGTAAAATGTTCCAGAATGACAAACACCCAGTGCTTTCAGGTTTTTCTTTTAGTTTAGGTTTACAACATGGCTGTGTTAATCCACAATCCTACAGAAATAAAGTGTCAGCAGATATGGTAAAAGGAAGTACAGGTTTGGTTTCTGTAGAAATTACTCAGAAATGATGTGATATGATTACAAATGCTGAAACGATGAGCAATGTGTTACATTTGAGTTCAAATAACATATATAGCTGTTAACATAGCAACTAAAGATAAATCTGAGTAAATAAACTGATGAGATGAGAAAACATAGGAAAATATAGTTCTAAACATTTAAAATATATTTTGTTTCTATTCTTTTTGTTTAAAGTAGCACTGTGTACATTGTTAGGATTATTTATATTGATGATGAGTGAGTCTGTTAACCCTAATAATGTCTGCGTGTTACGTGTCAAAAGTAATGTTTTCCCAATTATTTTATCTAATTCAGTGACAGACAGTTCTGTCAGGATATACAGTTATCATGTTTATTATGTACTTAACAGGGATTTGGGAATGAAATGGGGGCACAGACATAGTTGATCTTTCCTTACAGCGAGTTCTCTCTGTTTTTATCTGGGAGACTGTGTTAATAGTTTGATATGGCTGGAGGGGGGGATCTTCCTAATTGTCAATCATTCTGGTGATATGTTAACATAAGGCTGTACTACATGCTCGTCCTCACGTAGCTATCTTACCGGTGATGAGTCTGACATAGTGGAATACATAGTGTATGAGCGATGGAAACAGCAACTTTTAAACAGCGTGGGCGAGGAGAAATGGGCTTGTGCATGCTCACACACATGTTTAATAGGCATTCCCTCTTTGGAGCAGGTACAGGGTTGAACGTTTGCATTATTTTTTTTTTTAGTGAAGAGGTTGGGTCTTTTCAAAAATGTACGAAAATCCTCAAATATACCTTTAATATGACATAAATATCATTAGGTTAAGAAACAGTAAGTGGTCCATATTGCTGCTCCAAAACGGCTGCCGCTCTTGATAACTCTCCTTTGTAACTCAATAGGGTCACATCTGTTACCAAATAAGTCATGTGGCCAGGAGCACCACCTTATAGGTGCAATGTTACCAGTAGTGCTAAAACCGGATGTTATAGGTAACTAAAAGGTACACAGTGCTGATTTGACTTGGGTTTTTGGGGAGCTCTTTTATAATTAGAAACAAAATGAAACTGCGTGACATATTTTGACTAAATTAATCGCTCTATGGGGATTTTTTGGTAACATTGGGCTAAAGGTGACTCAGGAGTCAGGGGTTAGTTCAGTGACCAATCCTATGGCCGCCTCGCTTCCCTTAGGTGTAGGGCAGGTGTAGCTAGCTTACTACCATAAATGTTTCTGGAATCTCTGAATGCAGTGTAAAGCAGTGCTTCCCAAAGTAGGTGATGTGACTCCTAACATGTAGGGAAGGCCAAAATGTATCATAAAATAAATAAATACCGTGAAATAAATAGATGTAACTTTTATTTATGTACTTATTTAATGCATGATTCAAATATCAATTTATTTATCATCAATTCTTACATTAAATGGTAAAATGCACAATTAAATAATTAAATGTTCCTTTAATAAGTAAAAAATACATGAAAAATGATAAGGGCAAGTGACTTTCACATGCCCTGAAACAATTTTTACTTGCCCAGGATAATGTTTGATAAATATAGTTCCTAATATTAATTTTGTATATATATCAATGAAACATGTTTGTTTTTTAAAGGTTTTTTGTAATTCAGTATTTTTTAAGTTTACAGGTTCCTAGTGTCTATATGCATACGTCAGATAATGAACTCAAGCCTATATTACCATGTTAACAAGCTTTTTAATCCTTCCTGCACATTCTTTTTAAACTAAACTTTGCTTTAAACTGTTGTGTGCTTGGAAAAAAATAAATAGCAATGTTAAAAAATCAAAAAAAAACTTGACAGGTTAAAAACTTAAGATAAATCACAAGACAGAAGTCAATGTCACAAATGAATAACTTTTATTTTAGAGTCACGGTATGTTTATACAAGATAATACTATTAATATAATGTAACTTTTCTGGAGAATCATTATACATAGTTATTTTATACAGGGTTTCCACAGTCTTACATCATTTTAGAATTCCCTGACTTTTAACTGACTCAGGATTAGTTTTCCCTGACAAAATAAATGCAGCCATTTGTCGTTTTGGTAACTACATCAAAATTACAGCTAGGAGGACAAAAATTACCCAGCTTTTTCAAATCACGTGCCTTTTTCAAATCACGCGAGAATGTGTACAAAACAACAAAAATGGCGCCGGCAACGCATCTGGGTCGTTTTCATCGAATGTTGGTGATTTTAAAGTAATTTTGAGTGGTAAATTATTTTTTTGGCGATCACTGCACTTGCCTGGCGGGCAAATGCAATGAAATTTGTACTCTCCCTACAATAAAAACTACTTGCCCCGGGAGATCGTGCGATGGTTAACATCGAGCCCTGTATATATATATTTACATTCAGTTTAAGCAATGAAACTGACATATGTCAATTTACGGTTGTATATTTCAACTGTGTAATTTCTCTTTGCTTCGATTAAGAAGAAACAAAAGCAAAATAACTTCTAAAAAAAACTGTGTTACACAGGATAAACAAATTATTTTAAAATTGTATTTAATGTAGAATTGAGTTTGCCTTAATCTGCATTTCAACTTGTCTGGTCTCACAAATAGAAAAGTTGCAGTTAGAAAGCTTTTATTGACATGAATAAAATAAGTTCTTTGGCGCTAGGATCAGGATAAGGTAAATCAGAACCCATTTAAAAGCATTAGAGATATTCACAGGGCACCTTTTTTTTTAAATCTAATTTACAGATCAAGGTCTCAGAATCTGGAAAGACAGGGAAATATACAAAGTCCACAGTGATAGATCAGTAGGGGATCTTGGTCAAATGCTCCTTGTGTTTCACTGTTTCTGCTTAACCCTTGTGCAGCCCTTATATTCAGCTTTGCTGACCCCAACATAAAGCAACTTAATTAAACTTTAAACTCCAACTCTATTTTGACTGAAGGAACAACCTGCTGAAAGAACACCACCACTTGAGTGAACACCTGATTTTTGTTTCTCACATGGCAGAAAGACTGCATTTACTCAGAGTCTACCACTCGCCGTTTTTTTGACAGGAAATACTCTTTTAGCTTGAGGCAATTCTTCTTCTGTGGATGAATCAACATCTTGCTCTGGGTTGTATTCCCCTCATCAATCTCTGCTTTTACCTCCTTCTCTTGTCTTTCTAGTCATACTGTCACCAGTCAGCTGCAGCCCCTTTATGGGCTTTGAGCAGCTTCAAAGACTAGAAATATTAGAGCGATGCTTGATGCAGAAGTTTGTCCTGCAACAGGATCATCACCAGTCTGAACTCTCTCCCCGTTCTTCTCAGTCGTTATGTTCTTGGGCAAGACGCTTCCCCCACATTGTCTTCTGATAGTGGTCACAGGGCCCGGTGGTGCCCGCGTACGACAGTTATGCTTCTGCCACACCATCAGTGCGTGAATGTATGCCTGAATGAGTCTCCTGGCTCAAAAAAGTGCTATAAAAATATGGAAAATTTTCCATATTGTTACAATTTGTTTCCTAGAACCTGTACTTTCCTTCAGAGCCTTTCTGATATTTTAGCCATCCGTAGGATGACAAACTGCAGACATACTGACCAGAAGGCATTATGTTTTAATTATGAGATAGTAAATGCATTTCAGGACACCCGAATCTGCAGTATAATGTCACTCCCTTGGCTGCCGTATCACAGTATTGCATTCTGCTGAAGACTGTCTGCTATTGATACATCTTAGTTATAAAATAAAGCATGTTCACGTCATCGTGTTGTCCAGAAAACAGGCTTAAATTGGAAGGCAATCAGACTTTAGCTCAGTTTCTAATTGAAGACATTTTGACACCTATCTAAGAGTCTGCTGGTGAAGATTCTCAGTCATCCAAGTCATAGTCATTCCCAAAAAAGTAAAAAAAAAACAACAACAATCCATTGGACTATGTCTCCAAGTTTGAAGACGACTTTTGGACAAGTATGGGGCATTGCAGCCTAACCAAATAAGCCAAATGAGCCCCATTACAAAGGGGTGGAACCATTCGTCCATTTTAACTTGCATGTTTTCTTAAGGCTTTGTTGGGCTACTTTATAAGAGCCTTGAACCCAGTGAGATTTTTCAAACATTTGAATTGAAAAAGCTTCCCAGCTTTAGATAGTAAGCGAAACATTTTCAAACCTGGAAACAAAGTCCAGTGGATTGTTTTGTTACTTTTTTGGTAATATCTAAGAGTCTGTCAACTTTGTCGGCTCGCACCAGATGACAGAATTTTCACAAGAGTCATTGTAGTGTGTAACCTACCCTGCAGTTGTAATTTAGATCAGCACACTTACTCAATGGATAATATGTTTCTGTGTTTTAGATTTTTCCCCTTTGACTGTATGCAATGTTCCTTTCTTCTGAGAAAATAAACTTAAGCCCTAATAAACAAAATAAAAATCAGAGTAATTAATCTATTTAATATATTTTGAAGTAAATTACTAAAACATACTTATTTGTTGATTTTATTGTAATTTCATTGAAAAGCACCGGTATGTAAAAAAAAAATTAAAATTAAGTTAGTTATGCAAAGATAATGAAGGAATATTTACTCTTGCACTGCAAGGAAATAAATAGATCTAAACACAAACGTACCTGTTGTGTCACACTAACCTAACCCCCACCCCAAGAAGGTAACTGTTCCTCATGTGAACCCATTATTTGTCCCCATGAATACCTCTAAGTCCAAAAATGTAGAATATTTCAGGGAAATTGTCCCCACAATATAACAAAAACTGGCCAAACACACTTTATTTATTTAGTTCTAAATAAAAGTTAATCACAGAATAACTGCTCTAAGAATTTATATCCTAGATCCTTTACAGCTCCCATTTTTTAAATTTCAGATGTTGCTTTAGACGAGGCTTCCTGTTAAGCAGATGATGTGGGCTGAGTGTGTGAGGTTTTGCGCCTGTCTGTGGGTAAACTTATTTCACACATGAGTCGCAACGCAGGGTGACGGCGAAGCCAAACCTATTTGCTCTTCACTTGCAGGTGCGTCATCTTCTCTTTCTCTCTATCTTGAGCGAGTAAATGTGAGGTGAAAATCTTTTCTTCTTTCTGCCACCAGAATGCAAAGACTGCTGAAAGCATCAGAGCATGTAAAGAGAACACTTGAGTGAAATGGTGTTTGAAACCGTTTAAAAAAAACAATTTAAACAAGGATGTTACCTTAAGGCTTCATTCAGGCAAAGGGAGCATTTTGGTGTTATTTGCTGAGTCTAATTTTAGATAGTAAACACGTAAAGACCTATGTAATTGGAGTTTAAACAAGTCAAATAAAACTATTTACCCTTCGCAGATTTTATCTGTTGCTGATTCTTTTTGTTACATTGAAAATAAGAAGTTGCATATCAGCAAACAAGTTTCAATATTATTAACTAAAATCTATTTTCAAAAGATAAACTGAATTTTGTTTGTGTTAATGATCAGTCATCATCAGTAATAGCAACCACAGAACAAGATTAATTAGTAAGGCAACCAGACTTTAGCACAGGGTCGGATACACAAGGAGCTTAAAATGGCATGTTATTATTTGTTAGTTTCCAGAATCGACAGAATACAATTACAAGTTTTATTCCATACCTAATGCCACTGCCAGACAAAACATAGCTGTGGTTAAAAGCAGAACCCAAGACAGTTCTTGTTAAAAGCAATAAAACAAGGGAGTGGAAAGATACGATCATCAAACATGCTCTTGTATGCAGCACACACTTACCAGGTAAATCAAGATAAGGAAAATGTCTGTTGTTTGTACAGATTACGGCTTGCTTACTAGAACGTTACTCAAACCAGCTATGTAAGTGCAGTTTGCTCGTTATTTAAATTTTTTTTTTGCTTTTATTCTAATTCATGTAAAGCAATTTGATTTGTTCATATACTGAATTGTACTATACAATAAACTTGCCTTGTCGTCAAGATATGGCTGTTTATTGTTTTTGCAGTAACCCAAACCCTGGCCCTGTTGCAGCTAGTTAGAACTGTGGATCACCCTCTGTTTTTCAGTTAGTTAGCCCCTTAATCCATGAGGGGGTCCTTCTAAAATTACATATGTGAATTAAAGAAAGCACAGCTCCCAAACTATACACTGGAAATACAATTGCTTGTATTTGTATGAGAGAAAGGCATTGAGAAATATTTTTCAGCTGGAACCACTATTTTAAATGTCACCAAGTCTTATTTATAAGATTAAAAAAAGAAAAAATGAAAAATATTTAGCCTCGCCAATTTTTTTTTTCCCAAAATAAACACTGCAAAAAAACATGAAAACTCATTTAATACTTTGGATGAACCCTCAGACTTTATAGACCCACATCTTGACCATAAGTCAAGCAAATTTGGAATGAATAAGTTGAAGCATGTTTGTTCCACAAAGATTTTAGTGGGTAGTATGCTAGACGATAATATGATTTTGTCACACTGCCAAAAGTGCAAAAATGCATTTTTTCCACTCATAAAAGGGAATCTGTAGATTTACATTATTGGAGACCTTCTGCAAAAGACAAAGCCTTTGCTCCTAAGATTTAACCGTTGTTTCATTGAAATTTACCAATAATATCACCAAACTGAATAGAAAATAAGAATAACGGAAATAGATTATGTAATGCTTTCCTGCTACATCACCTGAAATGGTCGCACAGTTACCTCTGACCCCTCTTTGGACAGGTCTGAAGCCTCTTGTCTCCGATGATGCCAGACATTAGGGGGTGTGGCTAAAAATGAAAACCTGCTGTTGCATTACTCCCACAGAGTCACACATGTCAGGTGGAATTTTAAATCTTATTTTATTTGTCTACACAGCTATAACACAAAATTACTTGTGAAAAAATACTTTTGAAATGTGTTTAAGAAATTTTAAAACCCCATTTAAAAGGCCAGTGGATGAAACACCATGTGACTGTGTTTTGGCCATTTCTTTAAATAGATTAACATGAGCAAGTTTCAGTTGGGCCCTGTACTGGGCCGGCCGGGCCTAAGTGGCTAGGTGAAGATGTCAGGTCACTCCTGACAATCCTGTCAAATTGTCCATGCATTGGGTTGGTGTGTATGGGTCAACTGATCTGGTTCCATCCCTTAAAGTTAACTTATTGAAAAATATCTCTTCCCCAGAAAGTAAATAATGTTAGGGTACATATTCAAATGAAATCAGATTTTCTAAAAAAACTTACTAGATACAATTGTTACATTTCTTGGGGATAATCTTTCTGCCTCTATCTACTGCATACTCCGACCACAGAAATAGGCCACAAAGTTTACCAAATGAAAAAGGGTCTATATTGCACTCAGTAAAGTAATCATTCAGACGTATAACCACTTTTTTTCGCTTCTCGTGGTCTTGTGACTCGGGCACAGTTAAATGTTCTACTCCTGCCATAGTGCCCCAAAAAAAAATCGCATAATCCTTTGCGAGAAGAGCTGTTGCAAAGCATTCTCAGAAACATCTGCTCATCTAGTGACCATCCATGTACACTACATTTCAAGGTGCATTGTGGGAAATTTTGAACTGCTATTTCATCCACTGTAAGACATTTGGACCCCCTACAAAATGGCGTAAATGGTGTTAGGAGTGCCCAGTCGGACACAGCCATAGTCAGTTGTGTTGGCTCACACTAGTCCAGCTTTGGTGAAGAAGAACTAGAACTTAATCCTGGATATTTGTCTTCCGAAAAAAAATTCTGAAAGTCCTGTAAACTTAATGTTATCAAGGAAAAGACCATCACAACCAACACTTACCTTAAAAAGGAAATAATTACCACTAAACCTAATAGCCACTTGTACATCCCTTCACAGGAAGATCTTGCATCAAGAAAAGCAGCCACCAGCATTAGTAAGGCTTAGAGCTCATGAATAATTGTTCTCAATTTATTTCACTGGTGCACCTAAATCTTTAAGATGGTTTGTAACCTTTTTCAAACTGGTATAAATAAATGTGTTTTCCCGAATGTTTTTTAACTAACAAGTTGATCTTGCCATTATGTGTTGCTTTTTGAGAGCTTTGGGACTTTATTTATTTTATCTTACATGTTTGATTTAGGTGATTTCCTGATTTTACAGGTCTTGTAGTAGATGGGGTGTAACTTGTGAAACTGAGCCAAAGAAGTGTGATTTATCACTGCTAGCTTATTATATTAAATTAAGTCAAACATATTTTCACACCGGTTAATTTGATTCCTTTGATAAACATAATTCTTTCAAGCAAACGTTTCACAGCCTCGCACATTCAGATAAGTAGCTCTCACTCTGGTCTATCTCTCCTCCCTTTTCTAGTTCCCTCTGTCACTTTGTCACACTCTCTATCTCAGCGGGACTCTTAAGAAGATTGGTTACCTCTTTCTCCATCTCGCCTTACCTCAGATCCAATCTCCTCTCGATTTTGTCCTCCCTTTTTCACTTTGCCTCTGTCCTCCCTCAGCGGGACCCTTGAAGGGATCTGCCCTGAATCCTGAATGACTCCTCTGCAATATTAATGAAACAAAAGCTGAACGGAGAAAAAGGAATATTCTAAGCTGACATTGACAAGAGAAAGGAGAGCAGCAGTGGAGATGTTAGAGTTAGAAACAGGGATTGGAGGTGGGGAAAGCCAAACAGGGGTATAAGATAAGCCTGTCTGCCTAAAACCAAAAGCAAATTTCTGTCTGTGTTAATTTTCCTTTTCTTCTCTTTGCTTCACAGCCACAACATTTCAGCAGCTTGACAAGACCAAAGCAACAACTAAAGGGCAAAGGGACTTGGAGAAACAATTAGGGTAATGCTGACCAGCATAAATAAACTCAATTTAAGATTTTTTTTCATCCAGACCAAACAACAAGGCCAACTGAAGGAAAACACTCCCACAAACAAATATTGTCAAGTGAAAGAAAGCCTTTGTCTTGACAACTAATGGATTGACTTGTGCTTGCAGACTTAAATGAGATCTAAATGAACTTTTTAAAATTGAGAAACTTACAGAGATGAACACCTTCACTTAATTTGTGGTTTGACAGCATTTAATTTTTATCACCATACTTTTATTAAAACTTTTTTGGGTGTGCAACGAAGGAACTCAGCTCTGCAGGATAAACGTTATGGAAGGCAACTTTCAGAGTGCCGAGGATTTTTTCAACTGGCTTTGGAGTTTTGCTGTGGAAAAACACAATCAGGGGGTCTACAACACCGTGTGCCTGGTCGTCCTGCTGATGCTCCCTCTGCTAATCATCCTCACCATCGTGGGGGTGTGCTGCCACTGTTGCTGCTGTCGCCGTGATAATGGCTTTTGTTGCTGTTGTCATGGAGGCTCTTCTAGGTCAGCAACAAAAAAGAACAAAAATTCCACCAACAGCGAGGACTTGTGGATATCTGTTAAGGCTGAGCCAATGACACCTGATCGGGTCGCCATGGGTATGTTGTAAAGGTTAGCTCCCTGACCCTGGACTAGTTCCTGTAGTCATGCTGAATTATGGGTGGTCATAAAGGAAGGTGGATAAAGCCCAGCTAAAGAAAAAAACATTCCCACCATAGTAAACAGACTTGGCATGGACCCAGTTTGGCTTTGTTTATAAATCTCTGTCACTTTGTATTTATGACAATGTTTACATTTTTATGAGCTTTTTAGCATATGGTACATGAAAAAAAGACATAGGCCGTTTCTCAATTCATAAAAACGCAAGTGAGGACTCATGTGTTGCCAAGTAGGTTCAAGAACATAAATATGGGTCAATAGGAAGAGAAACGTACTCGTGAGGTCACCACATGCTCGGCTCGTCTGGAGTCGGATTTCACCTCCTGTTATGAATAGTCTCTAGATAATAATAAATTCTAACTCTTTATCATTTAATGGGGGACTAATAGTTAACACAGACAGATAAGCACAAATCAAATGAACGTTTAAAATAAAATAAAAAAATGCCATCAGAGCCATCAGAGGGCTACTGCAGATGGGCTAATGTTAGCTCTGACTGCGGTTGGCCTCGGAGGTCTGCTGGTTGCCTAGGTCCTCTCAACATTGGAACTTTTTTAAAAAAATACGCACTAAATCAGTAAATGGGCCATATAGTGATGCTTAAAAGTATAATTTTTCACCTCAAATTATCTTAAAACTTACTTTTGTAGAATAACAGAAAGAGAAAAAAAGATCTTTTAACTTAATGCTCTGAGCTCTGTGAGAGCTCCAAGGAAAGCTGCTGCTGCCGTGGTGCATGCTGGGAAAGCCGTCAGTCTGGAGAACACACAAGTCTGCTCTGCTCTGTAAAGAGGGAGGGGCAAGAACAACATCTGGGAACTTTGTCCATTCTTGGTCTGGTGTTCTTGTGAATTGGAACAGTACTAGGCCTCCGGTTGATGACCTTTCACAAGCATATGAGAATGCACAGCACACATATTGAGATATATACATATATAGATATAATTGACAGCACTTTGTCCTTTGAGCTTCTGTGTGAAATTCAATGCATCCATACTTGGGAGAGGGAGCATGCAGAACACCTAATCAATTTTTAAATTGCACATACCTTTCAGGTTGTAAACTGAGAAAAAAAAAACAAACAGCACTGATATCTTAAAGGGATCTTATTATTTTTTTCTTGCTTCATGTTAACAGTAGATAATTAAGTACAGACCACACATCAGACACATGCACAGACAATTTTTGGGACAGGCCCTCAAATCTATAAGAAGGAAACCGAAAACCAAATGTAATCATGGAATACAAATAATCCAACGTGGTTATATTATACTTTCATATTTATTTTTTTCAACACAATTCATACATCTGATCAAACAGGGTAATTGAAAGTACCAAACAGGTAAATGAACACAGGCCATAGTGTGTATTCTTGTTTATAACCTAGGAAACCATTGAATAATCATCAAATACATATCAATAACAACTCTGATAAATTTAGAAATACAGCATACAAAATTATCTTGAAGATGAAATGCCCTTTCTATCTTAAAAAGCTTACTGATATGTTCCTACTGGTTCAAAAAGTTTGTATGCTGCTCTATACCAGAGCTTTATATTTAGCATTCTGCATGTGTTATTTTGAAATGGTAATAAGTTACCAAGTAAAATGATTCATTCAGTGTTAAAGTAGAAATACTTGCATGAAATCCTTGAATAAAAATGACTTTTCCTACACGGAATAGAGTTCTGGCTAGGATGGTATAATTGTAAAATATTATGTTTGTTTGTATTTTCAAAAACTTCTATTGTAAAGGTTACTTGATGTTCTCCTGCAGAAATATTGTGATCATGCTTTTTTCATTTCAATTTTTTATTTGACATTAAAATGACTCTTTTTAGATGGAAAATAAAAACAAAAAACAAGTGAACTGGTCTAATTTTGGTAAACATTAAAATAATGTTTAAATTCTCACTGTATGTTTATATGCTTACTCGCTGCAGCTGTCTCTATCTTTTCCCACCTTCCCTGTAAACTTTAGAATGTCGATAAACGTGAACAAAGGCTTTGAAAAACATGAGTACAAAGAATATAGACTGTGCTTTATATAATGACGCCTTGTAATAAAAAAAAACTGAATGGGAAAACTAAATTCTCCCCTTTTTATTTATGTTTTTTAGGAAATGTTGGGCCAGAATCCATGAAATGTTTCCAGTCGCACAAAACGTTTAGTTTAGAATATAATTTGACATAAGCCAACACGAAGGAATGTCCAAGCACTGACTTTACCTGCTGTCTAATGTTAAGGGTCAGACAGGAAGTGTGGCAGCTGTAGCAGTTTGGCCTATAACTGTAAAGAAAACAAGGCAGGGATGGGAGGGGTGGGGGCTTGTGTTCTCTGGCAGACCTATTCTGCCAAGAATACAAACAAATACCCATCAAAAGTCAAAATATTCCTAGAGGAATTTTACAGTGGATACATTGTGATTTTTTTTTTTTTTTTTTTTACAAACTTGCATACAATAGTCAATTTTAAGATGCAGATAACCTCCACAGCAATGGACATTTTTTTTGTTTTAGCTTTGACTGAAGAAACACATCAATTTAGCGCTCGGCAAAATCCAATGTTTCCATAACTAGGGCTCCAATTTTAAAGACATCCCCACTTTCCAGCTTAACTGCAAACCTCCTACACCCCTTCACCCCCCTTATACCAAGGCTCTTCTCATTCTTCTGCCTCAATTCCATCAACAATATCAGACTTCAAGGGGAAAGATGTCTCTAACCTAACCCTACTTGCTTACACAGAGAACAGATGTGTTCAGCATCATGTCTTCTGCAGGGGTCTGAGTGGCAATGACTTATTCATTTCTTCATTTCAATAAAACTTTCTAATTTGTGATTTTTCTTCTATTGAATTTCTCCAGGTTGAATTGAATACATATTTTTCATGTGTACTTGAAACAGTAGAAAATAAGTTATATGTAGTTAAATGTATGATGACATTTACAAATATTAGTCATTATAAGAATTAAGAGTTTGAAGGGCTTAAAGGTTAAGATTCCGGTTCAGAACTTTATCAACTTTGATAACAGTGACGATTTCTCATTGAATACCAGGGAGGCTAAACCTCGTAGAAGGTCTATGGGGCAGGGGCCAAGCTGGCTGCTCGAAGCTGGGCAAAAGGATGCTTGACCGACAGTAGCCAGACAGCGAGAAGCTTTTCCTCATGATGCGGGGGGAAAGTGGTCACTCATTCAGAACAATAGTATTGTGCTGAACTCCTTCTGTGGTCCTGAGTTATATTATTCCAGAACACTTCACAACAGCTTTTTCCACCTGTTGCAGTAATGTGTTTTATGTGTTTCAACGTTTGTCAATGCGATACGTGACATTTAATTGACACCATTCAGACTCCCCTGTTTCGGAGAGCAGCAGACCCCAATGTTTAATAAGTAACATCTGGATTAGTTCTGATGTCACTATGAAGTGAACGTAGTCACTTGAAACACAGTTTTATTTGACTAATTATGGAAACTATGAAAAAATAAACAGACTTTCACAAATAAGGAGCATGCAGATGACTATATAAAACAGTAGGTCTAACCATGATAACAGCTATCATAATTCTCATGTGTTCATATTCACAGACAGGTATTAAAACATTTGCAGAATGTAGAGAAGCAAGAACATTAAACAAACTTCAGTAAATAAATATAAAATATATAGATCCAAGCCAGCTGTACAACCACTGTCTGCATAACCTAGAAAGTGCGTAAGGGCTGTGTCATGGCTCAAAACAGAGGTCCCAGTATTCAAGGCCAGACAAACAATGGGACTACTCAAAAAGCATTTATTTAAAACAAGAACTGTAGATCTTCAGTAACAGTATTTATGGCATCTAAGGCTGGAACCTCTGGTTAAACAGTTCAGTCCGTGCCCAGAGAACAAGGTTGATTCCAGCCGGTGCGCTGCCAACAATATGAGGCGGGCGCCGTCCAGAGTGTCCCAGATGCTGCACCCCCGGAGAACATGCAGGAATCCGAAGCCAGGTCAGACAATCAGATAAGAATAGGAAGGCTCAGAGGTCCAGAAGTCGAATGACAGTTCAGGCAAACTGTTCAGACGAGAACAAGCAGGCTCAGTGGGTGAGAGGCAGAACAGGTTAGGATCAGGAAATCAGAAACACTAAGGAACTCTAAAAACACTCACCACTGGTTAGAGAGAACAAGATAATCTGGCCCTGATCACTGAATTCAAGCACCTTAAATAGAGGCTGAAGTAGGTGGATCAAATGAGAGGTAATGAGCAACCAGGCAGAGCTAGACAGGTGAATGGAATGAGTAATTAAGCCAGCCATTAGTGCCAAGATCCTGACAGGCTGGCCTTTTCAACGTTAAGGCTGACTGAACTACAGGTACAAAAACATGCCTTTTATCAAATGCTGATTTGATGTGTTGTAATAATCCATAAATCTTTAAAACAGATGTTTCCCCCATTACTGTGGTGGTTTTGTGGTTTGTATTCCTCAGAACTCCCTGATGTTAACAAATCACAGATTTTACAAGAATTCTCAAATGTTTGTATCTTCCAAAACCAGTGCAGGACCTCGCGGGATGCATTTAGTTATGTGTTTGCTTGCAGGGCCCAGAACATGTTTTTAGATTATTCTTTGAATAGTGTTGAATAAAATACATTTTAAAATGGGCTCAGCTGAATGGGTACTTTTCTAACGCAGAGCAAAAAAGAAAGTGGATCCATCAGGGTTAAAAGCACAACTTCAAAAAACAGAGGCAAGAAAACAAACATATTGTTTGATTTCAAACCACTGAATCTATTCTATTTCAAAAAAGAATTTTGAATTTTTTTTTTTTATTCATTTATTTAATTGTTCATGTCATGTCATTCAACATTGCATCTTACTTTTTCTCCCCCAAACATGAAGAAAAAGGAACAGAGGGAAGATAAATCTTGTATGATCTGTTCCTAAAAACACCCAACTAAAAGAGAGCTTTCAAATCATATTTCAAAGTAATACGTGAAGATATACAAAAATAGTTTGACTGTCATTGTGCAATGTGCACTGCAACTTCATATCCCTCTTACAAATGCAAGACTCTGATGTGATGTATAGATAAATATTTTTTATCAGATTAACAGAGTATATAGGGCTCTATAAACTCAGTCCCTCTCTTGAAAATGCCACAGATGCACAATTGAGATATGGGGCATTGTGATAAGACTAATTCAATCTGAAAAACTCACACAGAGAGAAAAGATAATTAGAAGAATTTATTGATAAGAAAGTATAGTCTTTGGCGCTCAGACCTCGGCAGGAACATTCATGCTGAATTATGCTTTAACATGCATGAGTAGATGAATGTGAATAGGGATGTTCCCCCCGGGCCTGAAACTGGTGGTGGTTTAATCCGAGCTGGTTGACAAGGTGATCTGCTGGGCAGAATTGTGGGACTAGAAGACTGAGGGAGCTGACGCCGGGGCTTCACTCAGACTCGGGATATAGAGGTCCTGCTCGGTGATGCAGGTACCGTGAAGTGTCCATGATGAGCAAGCATGAAGCGACAGTGGAGAGGAAAAACTCCCCTTTGGGAAGAAACCTCTGGCAGAACCGGGCTCAACATGGTGGTCTTCTGCCGGACCAATGCGATGAGACGAGGGATGGTGACAACTGGGATTAATACTCTCTGATGAGGTTGAGGTGAAGTCGTGTCATGGAGGACGATTCAGCTGCGATGGCGGAGAAGGGGATGGAGGTGGGTGAATTGTCGTCTGGATCGAAATCCGACATTGCGATTGCAGGATAGCGGCTGTGGTGAGATTTGAGGGAGTTTATAAAGTGGAAGCAGGACGCTGATTGGGCTTCGTGGTGGAGTAGTTCAAAGCTGATTGGCTCGCTTCGGAGACGGATCGGCTTCTGATGATGTGAGGTAAGTCAGAGTTTCTTCAATTGAACTTTCGCTAGAGCTTCATTTCAATCTGAAAAACTCACACAGAGAGAAAAGATAATTAGAAGAATTTATTGATAAGAAAGTATAGTCTTTGGCGCTCAGACCTCGGCAGGAACATTCATGCTGAATTATGCTTTAACATGCATGAGTAGATGAATGTGAATAGGGATGTTCCCCCAAAAAGCCGAGGTCGAGGCCGGAGAGTCCGTATGCTCGTAGGGCATACGCTAGGGACAGAATAAAGAATGCGTAATGAAATGCTGAGAAGGTTTGCAAACAACTTACCGAGGCAGGTTGTTGATGAGGATGGCGACCACGGTTGACGCCGAGAACTTACCGATGATGATTTACCCATGATGATGATGATGAACCCATGATGATGATGAACCCATGATGATGATGATGATGATGATGAACCCATGATGATGATGAACCCATGATGATGATGAACCCATGATGATGATGATGATGAACCCATGATGATGATGATGATGATGATCCCATGATGATGATGATGATGATGATGATCCCATGATGATGATGATGATCCCATGATGATGATGATGAAGATGATGATGATGATCCCATGATGATGATGATGATGATGATGATGATCCCATGATGATGATGATGATGATGATGATGATGATCCCATAATGGTGATGATGATGATGATCCCATGATGGTGATGACGATGATGATCCCATGATGATGATGACGATGATGATCCCATGATGATGATGACGATGATGAACCCATGACGATGATGATCCCATGATGATGATGACGATGATGATGAATCCTGCGGATGATGATGACGATGGTGCATCCCATTATGATGACGATGATAATGAATCTTGCAGATGAGTCTGATAATGAATCTTGCAGATGAGTCCATATAGAACATATAACATGACGGGATACAGACATGACGAGACGCAGACATGGTGCATATTGATGCATTGGAAATGCAAGCAAAATGGCGTAGGGATGCATGACGAGACACGACGAGACACAGATAGGGAGCATGTGATGCATGGGGAATGAATCTTGCGGATGAGTCTGATAATGAATCTTGCGGATGAGTCCATATAGAACATATAACATGACGGGATACAGACATGACGAGACGCAGACATGGTGCATATTGATGCATTGAAAATGCAAGCAAAATGGTG